TGTGTAGGCATGGCATAGTGGAGAACAAAGATCCCAGAGACGACATCCTTTTCACTGAAAATGTTCTTTGGGATGAATAATTGGTGACTGTTTTGTGTTTGCATGCTTTGGAAACTGCTGTCACTTTAGTTTCAACTCTTCACTGTGGTAAAGAAGAATGAAATCATTTTAATATCTTTAAAGATAAAATTTTAAGTAGGCATGAGGTATATAGTATGAAGGTTTTAGTGAACAGGATACCTTATAAGTACACGTCTGCTTCATTTACCTGAATAGATTATAAAACTAAATCTCTTAACATAACTTAGCTAAATGTAACTCTTCAATCCAGAGTCATTGTTGCTCTCAGTTGCATCTTCAAGTTTTGGGCGTGTTATTTAAAAGTTGCTTTTGCTCTACTAGTGTTCTAAGCACTATCTGAAGAGTAGCCTGGGTTCCAAATACTTGAGATCAGCTTTTTGTGCCTTTACCCTGTCATTCAGTTTCTTCTGCCACCACGTGAAAAGAAATCACAGTTGCTAGGTGATGGAGTTTCTGCTGTGGGAGACTCCTGAGATATACTAGATTGTTCCTGTGCTTAGTGACTGATTACTGTTGTGTGCTAGGCTACAGGAACGGGGATGTCATTGTCGATAAAACGCACCCACCTTTTACTGTGCTGCAACAATGTAGTAGCTTGTTCCTTTATTCCATTGCTTTTGTATACATATTATAAAAGCTAATCTTTCCCACTCTCTTAGCAGTTCAGATGTTCCCTAACTTAATACAAATATGCCTTTAATTCAGTTTTGTTTTCTTGAGTTACTTGAAGTTCTTGATGCATTATAGAATTATTGACTGTTTATTTTTATTCTAGTATTTAAAATTTGTAGTTATTGCCATTAATATTGTGGAGTTTGCAGAAATCTCAACTGTATAAACTAAACCTTTAAATTAGCTTGGTGTGAGGACTCTTTAATGCTTCAAGTAGGGGAAGGGGACCCTACATTTTAGGATGTAGTAAATGAGCTTGCTGCTGCTGTCTGAATAATGACCTGGTCAGTTAATTGTACTGGTATATGTCTCGTGTGTTCGTGTGTGTGTGTGTGTCCATTCTGCTATTAGCTTCTTGTATCACAGTTGTCTTCAGTTCAGTTGCTTTCCACCTAGAGCCTTTGGTGCACTTTGCATTACTGGCCATGAGAGATGCTGAAGATGAGACTAATCACCTGCTTAACAGTATTGTAAATACTTGCTGTTAGGTTTAAAAGTGAAGACAAGAAGATGGGAGTTCCCCAGCAGTGCACCTTGTTGGACTGCCGTTTAACTGGTCTTGGTTCCTTTGCCATCTGTGAAGTGTATGTTGATGATTTTAGAATCGAGTTGTCCTGGTGAAGGACACTCACCATAATGTAGGTTTGCACTGCCTGATGCATAGCACCATACGTTTGTAGCCAGTTGCCATTTGTTTGGCATGATTGGGTCGCTCTCCTTGTATGGTGTACAGTGAAGTTACTGGAGAAAGTGATTTTTTGAGACAGCAGCAGAGCAGGTCAGAGTTCAGAAGATTTCGGTGTGGTGAGAGCCTCTCAGCCCCATCTGTTACAGCAAACCCCAAGTGCTTGTTTTCTTTGTACTAAAGTGCTTTGAAAAAATCTGTAGAGATACAGCGTTTATACTCCAGTCATCATTGGATTGACAAGCACTATTTGAAAAGAACATGGCTCCTCCTGGAGAATGTGGGAATGATTGTATTTTTCATACTTTAACTTCATTTGAAACCAGTAAATTAAAGAGCAGTGCATGTTGATGGCCCAGCAGTTTCATACAATCATATTCTGTTAAATATCTCAGTACCTGCAGGATTAGAATGAAAGCTGTTTCTTCACTATACATATGGGTGGTCCTTGGTTCTCCTAGGGCAAATGGCTGTTCACTTTGGATTAATTGGCAGATAGGGAATTAAGCATGAGACTGGTTGATTCTAAGTTCTCTTGGGCCTTTTTTTTTTTTTTTTTAACACGGAGCTCTCCTATTACTGAGGAATTGCCTTCAGTGGTTCCATTTGTAGGTTACAAGTAGTGGCATTTGACTTTGCATGTTACTAACCAAATACCTAATGTGTTCATAAAACGGAGACCTTGTTTAGAGTAAGTCCAGTTGTATACTTGGACTTTATCCACCACAATATCTAACCCAGTTTACTGGGTGGGCCTTGATGGGCCTCTAGATCTCTCAGTTCACATTAGGAAACAGGCTTGGCTTCCTACTACCCGCACTGGTTACAGTATACAAATACAGTGCCATTTCTGCATTTGAAGTGTACTGTTTCTCCATTAATACATAAAGGAAAAGGTTGAACTAGAGCCAGTTGACTGCTGCCTAAGGAATGTGATCACACTTTCTTCCCCCTCCAAATCAAGGACTTGGAGCCTTGGGTGTGGTCAAGTTGCAGAACAGTCTGAAGATCAAACTGGTTAGCATTGGCTTTAGGGCATAGTGTATGGTACATTTTTAGTGGCTAATGGATTGTTTTTTTCTGAAACTCAGCTTTGCTGCCTCTCTGTAAGGAATCATTTATAGCCGGGCAGTGGTGGCGCACGCCTTTAATCCCAGCACTTGGGAGGCAGAGGCAGGTGGATTTCTGAGTTCGAGGCCAGCCTGGTCTGCAGAGTGAGTTCCAGGACAGCCAAGGCTATACAGAGAAACCCTGTCTCGAAAAACCAAAATAATAATAATAAAATCTGTATTTAAAAAAAGAAGTCATTTCGTAGTAGATTGTACTTTTACAATTCCCAAGTCTAGTGACTGGGAATTAGAAATCCCAGTCCTTAGCTTTAGAAATCAGTGACTTCCTCTGCTGAAGTACTTTGTTGTCCTTTGGCATAGAGTTGTGTCCTGTTTTCAAAAACAAACCCAAGAATTTATTCATAAAATGAAGTAATATCAGAGACATTACAGTGTGATTGGTGTGGCCATGCTTTAGAATTTCTTCTGTGATTGCCTTTCGTATAAAATACAGTGACATTTTTGCCTAGGATAATGGCAAGTGTAATATTAAATATGAATGGCTTGAGGTTATGTTTTAATTCCCCAAATGACTGGATAAACAATTGAGGACCAGAATGTTAAGTGTGAAGTTACTGGATGTTTGTGCTCAGAGGTATCTGCTTACCACAGGTATCTGAAGTTAACTCCATGACCCCTTTAAAAGTCACATTTAAAAGTAGGACTATTATGTGTGTGATTAAAAAAAAAAAGGTATATTTACATATACTTTTTACCCCAGGGTAAAATGCTTTGGGTGTTAGAATATCTGGCTTGCTGAAAATGGTATTTTTAGAAGCTGGGTTATTTTCAGACATTACAAATTTCCTCCTTTAGTTTACCAGAGAGACGATGTATGGGGAGCTAAGAGGTCACAACTTAAATTTCATAACACATACTGAGCCACCTTTCAGACGATGACTTAAAAACCTTTTAACTTCACACTAGATTTCTATGAATTCCTTAAGTGAGATCTTTAAAAAAACAAGTGCCTTTTTTTTCCCTCTTTCTGTAAAGGTCAAATAGCAGTGTGTCAGTTTTTTAGTCAGGAAGTTAAAAAAAAAACCATTTCTGGGTGTTGTGTGTGTGTGTGTCCCTTGTTTAGCCTAGAGCGAATCCCATCTCAGTTCCCCACCCCCAATCATATTGCAGGCATGCTTAAAAATTTAATTACAGGAAAGGTTTTCTCGAAGCTGTATTTTGGCGATTGTATTTTAGTGTTTTGGTCTTAGACGAGTTTTTCCAAACTAACTCTTAGTTGCAGTACACATTAACTTATATTAAGGTTTTTGAAAGTCAACACTTTTAAAGCTCGAAATTTGTTTTAAAGGATGGGGGATGAGGGATTTAGTAACTAAATCGGGTGTTCATACAACTATGTGGGACTTGTGTTTATAGATATCGGTGTGGAAACTGCTTAGTTCCATTTGAAGTTCTGGTATTGATGGACAGCATTTCAAGGACAGACGTGGTTAATTTTTGTTTGACCACGGGCTGTACATGGGACTGTGCCTTCCACCTACTGTGCTCTCCTGCTACCGGACATCTTAAGTGTTTTTGACTTGGGAGTATCTGGATCCTTTCCTTAAGATCTGATCCAGTAGCTGGTAGGCTTGTTCTGAAGTAAGGAGGGGCAAAAGTGGGCGCTAGTGGGCGCTGTGGATCCGTAGAAGTCACAGCCGTAGTGCAATTTCTCAAAATCGGTCTTGAGCAAGCTACGGAGAATCACAACTGCCACTTCTCTGACTGATAGTCGTCCGTGTCACCCCTAACTTCCCGGCCACTGTGAGGTCGCGGGGTCTCCCAGGAGCCAGTAAAGAAAAGTCCACTCAGACGTTGGCAGTGGAGCTTTGGAGGCGCTGTTCTTGCGGGGAGAGGACTGGAAAGGGACCAGCGCACGGAGTTGGGGCTCGGGGTTGGGATGGGCAGGACTCGCACTGCCGGTGGGCTGCTAAGGCTCGCAGCCTCGCGGGAGTCTGTTTAGACTTGCGTCGGACCGGACAGGATCACTTGGTGCCAGAATCAAGCTAGAAGGCCCTCAATTAGAGGCTCAAATGAATCCGCGAAGGACCAGGGCGCCGACCGCGTAGGGGGCGGCGGGGAGCGAGCGCCGCACGGCGGAACGCTGCGTTCACCAAGTCTCGCCCTATCCTAGCGAGGGCACTCACCAGCTCAGGCGCTTGCGGGCCAAGGCGACCCTGCCGGCGCGAGTGGCCAAAAGGCGGCCAACCCTGTGCCCTGCGCCTCGCGGGGCCACACTAGTGCGCGGTCCCCGGCGCCCAACCCGGCTCATCCCATAGGCGGGGCTCACCTGTCAGGGGCGCGCTACCTCTGGGTGCCCAGTGTCGGGTAGGGGCGGCAGACAGACGGGAGTGCTGCCCAATCAACGCACGCTCGGGGCGCGGCGAGCCAATGGGCTGTGTGCGACTGGGCGGGGCCCCGCGTTTATAGTGCTCTGACAGCGCGCTCGGCGCGCTGACTCTCCGCGGCGGGGACAGAGGCACCGGTCGGATCGCGGAGCTGCGCGCAGAGCGGGTCCTGGCGCCCTCCCCGCACACAAAGGCCCGCGCGCGTCAGACGCCTGCGGGGGTCCCAGTGCTCTCCTGACTGCTTAGCGGCCGCGAGTTGTGAGGATTCAGGAGGCGCCCTTTCTCTCTGCGCTCCAGGACATGGAACCGCGCCGACACGGCGCTCGCTTGCCCGGGCCGCTGCCCGCTGTCCTGGATCTATAGTCAGGCGGCCCCTCTCGGGGAGCAGCACCCGCCACCTCACACCGACTCGTCTCTCCGTTGCGGGCCTTTGTCCCGGCCCAGTGCCCTCGCCGCGCCCGCCCTCCGCGGCTGGCCCGGCACCCTGGAGCCGCACGGGAGCCGGCTGTCCCAGCTGCGTCCGGCGCGGCGCCCCGGAGCCCCGAGTCCGCCGAGCCGCCGCGCCCCGCGCGTTCGACCCCACCCCGCGCGCTGAGGGCCCCGCAGGGTGAGCGCACCTGGCCTCGGCGACCGCGGGAGCGGCGCGGCGCGGCGCGGCGCGTCTGCCCCGGAGGATTGGGGGTCGCGGCCCGCGGCCGGTCCCATCGCGTCCCGGAGTGCGCAGAACTGGGAGCGGCTTGGCCATGGCCATGGCCCGGTCCAGGAGGGACTCCGTGTGGAAGTACTGTTGGGGACTTTTGATGGTTTTGTGCAGAACTGCGATCTCCAGATCGATAGTTTTAGAGCCTATCTACTGGAATTCCTCGAACTCCAAGTAAGTGGCGTCCACGATCCTTCCCTCTCCCGCGGTGCCCTCGGCTGGCGCCCGGGGGTACGCCGTATGGTCCGGGCGGGAGGAGGCCTTGGAGCCTGTTTCTAGAACCTGGGGCTCCTGTCCCCCACCCCCACCCCCCACCTTCCACATTTCTCTAGGTGGAGACCAGCTGAGCTTGAGAGCGCGGGTTCCAAGGGTACTCTTCTTGGGGCTCCAACCTCGAGTGCTCTAGGGGTCCCGAAGCCCTGGCGACTCGATGGCACGTCTGGAAAGGTGTCTGATGGCGCTACCCGGTCCTCCCTTCTTTTTCGAGGACGGAGGACGTTGCCACTAATGGGGCTACAGACGCACACTGTCAGGCTCCAGGGACAGGCAGGGATGCTGCGCTTGCGAGGAGCGCGGGAGCCACGGGTCGGGGCCCAGCGAGAAGGCGACAAGAATTGAGGGTCTTGGGTAGTGGAGCGTCCCTTTGAGGAAAAGGACGCTGGGCCCGGGGCGTCCCTGAGCCGGAGTGCCTCAGCACCCTCTCGTTAGCCCGAATGTGCACGGGGGAGCTCGATGGCTCGGCCAGAGAACTCGGGCGGCGAGCTCTCTGCTTGTCGGCCTCTCCCTTCGCGTCGGAACTGGTGGTCTAGCTCCGGTGCGGCTCGGTCCGCTTAGGTGGCTTCATTTTAACGATGCCTTCAGGGCTCTACCCAGACAACGCTACAGCCTTTGCACTTGGGGAATCGGGAGTCCCTTGATCAGACTTGCTTTAGCAAAGTGCACAGTTGGGAGAAAACCAGGCCTGAGACTAACTTTCAGGTCTGGGCTCCCAGGGTGCGCTCCGCATTTCGAAAATGTTAGCCATCCCTTGGTATACGCAGCTAAGGACCCAGTAACCGCGGCTGGGTGCTGCCTTTTACCTTATTTTCCAACCGCCGCCAGAAAGTGCTGTGCGGAATTCTGGACTCAGCCCTAGGAAAGCGTGGAGACGCGGCTGGCTCCAGGCTGGAGTCAGACCTTTCAGATTAGAAGCAAAATCAATGGCCTAATTGGAGTTGAGCGTGTGGTGCACGGCTTCAGAGTAGAAGGGAACGAATTGTTTTTGAATTACCCCATACGCAAAGAATTGTGCCTACTCTCTTGAAAGTGGTAAATTTCAAATTCACTAACATAATTGACCAAACACGTTCCCCTACGAAAGGGCAAAAAATCTACAGTTGTAAATGACCCAAAACATTTTTTTTTTCCTGCTGCCGGGAGGCCCTTCTTTCAAAGTTACTGTGGTCCCCTCTAGTGTAGTCTTGATCTGTTAAAGAATTTTTGTTGTTTTTTTTTTTTTTAAGCAAGGTGTTGCATTTGCTCTCCTGGCGTGGTATCTTTGCAACTACGTGGGATCCACAGGCACCTTGTGGTGCCAGAAGGCGCCTGCCTGGAATCTGAGCGCTGCAGCCTTAGCCACTCGGACTGGGGCTCTGGTGGTGACTGCTGCTGACGCTCGCGGTACCTACAGAGGTCACCCTTCCCTGCCGAATGCTAGCTATGGGAGTGCCCATCCCCCCCCTCCCTTTCCCGGGCTGCCTGCCTCTCTCCACTTTGCACTTTCACTCACAGCCTCACTTTGGGAGGTTGTTGTTTTTTTCTTTTAACCCCCCTGTCCGGATTTAATATTTATATTTAAATCTAATTTAAGGAAATTCTCCTGAACCCCTTCTGAGCAACATAACCGCCTTTTGTGTCCGTAGTGACCACTATACTTGGATGTGCAGCCGGAAGGATTAGAGATACCGATTTGTTTAAACACCACCACCACCAAGCGCACCTAGCACCTAGAGAATAATGTCTTCGATTTGAAACCTGTTAGGGGAGGGAGTTAATTTACATTTACTCACTATTTGATCTTCAACGGTCTAGTTTTCCGAGCTGTGGCCACAGATGTATAGAGAGCTGCTAGGGCCTGGGTTTTGGAGGTGCAGGCCTTCCTGTACGGTGCAGTTGGTGTGATTACTCCCTGACCTCCACAATAAAATGCCTTAGAATTTTTCCTGAGGATGGCTGGAAATCTTTGGAAAGCCTGTGTGACTGAATGCTGTCTGCGAGATCAGAAAGATTTCTTCCTAGGAAGAGTAACACACACACACACACACACACAAAAGCCTTTTAGTTTTTAATGCCTGGCATCGCCTCCCTTGTTCACTTTTCCCAGAGAAAAGTTTCTGTAGATAAAATGTGGCAGAGGTAGTCAGGTGCTTGGAAGCTTTGCTTCACTTTTCGTGAACTGTGGGACAAGTCACTTGTCATGAAACAGGCATTGGTAATTAGATTTGTTTCATTCTGGGGTCAGCCTTTTTAGCAGGTGGTCGACACAGGGAGCATGCAGCAGCTGTGTGCGTGTAGAGCCCGGAAAATCCTTTGTAAACTGGAGTCTCCATAACTACTTTAATCACATCTCCTGCCATCCCATCCTGGAGAGTTTATGTAATAATCAGAAGTTCTGTGTACTCAAAGATTAGGTGGCTGCCCTGTCAGATTAGTCACATTGTATCTGAAGATGCTGGTGCTGTTTAGGTCATTTTTCAACTATTTTTTAAGTCCTGGAAGGAGGAGCAAAGCCTGGCAACCATCTCTCTAATTAACATTTCAGTAGAATCCCCCTCCCCAGTGTAGGGTTTTAGCCAAAATAAAGTGGTGCCTGTTTGTTGTTGTTTTGATGAATAATAGTTTCACTCAGGATTAACAACTCTACACTGGCATAGTATTCTAAAATAAATTACACCCTTGAATATTTCCTTCCAGTATTAATTTATGTCTGGGGTTTTTATTCTATAAGTATTACATACTAGTTAACTTACAAAGCACTGTGCTTTTCCCATGCAATGTTTTTCCACACATAATACTGAATTCTTGAAATTGATTGAGTTGATACAAAAGAATGGCTGGATAATATCCAGATAACCTGCAACACAGGCCTCTCCCTAGTCAGGCTCTGAATAAATACAGGCCTGTCAGATTGATAAACTAAACTACAATGGATAGCACTGTTTAAATAACCAGTCAATAACACATATACACCAGCCTACCTTCTATTGTGTCTGAAATTCCTATTTCTGTAGATAAACAAATGCAGATTCAGCCTTGATTGAATAGCCCCTTGAACTGTGCTCCACAGTTTGCATTTGGGCCAATCTTGTTGGTTTTAATAGAGAGAGGGGGAAAAAAATAGCAAACCACAAAGCACTGGGGGTTGGAATTGGTACTGTGTCACATCCACACTCTTCACATGCTTTGTCAGGATGATAAACTATAGGTTGTGTGTTGTCCTTGTCCCACAGCAGAGCCGGGCAGAGCACAAAGACAAACGTGGATGCCTTTTCAGATGAGAATCTGAGAATCTGAACTTCTTAACCTCCTGCAATTACAGCCTCCAGCCCCCAAAAGGAGGGTTGAAGCTAAGATGATTTGCTGGGCACTTGGTTTTAAATCTTTGACAAAGCTTAGCTCTTGACACTTGTCCTAGGAATGCAAAGAAATGTAAATGACCCCAGTGGTTCTGACTTGGTAGCTGGAGCTTGAAGGCAGGTGAATTAACCATCCCCAGGGACCACCTAAAGAACGTGTGTCGGAATGGTTTCCAGTCTGCTGGAGAACTGGCGGATTCATTAGCTTTCCTAGAACCTCTTCCCACTTACTAAGATGAATCCTGTTGGTGGGTCCCCAGGATAACCTTTCAGACTAGCATTGTGGGCACTGGAGTAACTAAATCCTCCGTTGTCTAATCTTCAGCTGAAATATTTCGGGTTGCTCTCAGGAGCTTGATCTGACACCTGACTTGAAGCAGCATTTCAGAAGACATTCAAGGAATGGGAGACTATTCCAGACCCAAGCATGATCGCAGGGTATCGTCACAGACGTGGGAGTGGCAGGGAGCAGCATAAATAGACTGTAGACCCTGGGAAAAGAATTGTTTTGAGGAACAATATTTCTTTGGCATTCTAATGAAAACTTTATTCTTAAAATATCTAATTACAAATTGGACGTTAAGAAGCCCCGTTTCCAAAAGATTATTAGAATGTCTCTAGTTACTGCCTGTCTTTGCTGCAGGCATAAAGAACATGTTTTTCAGGTCACTTATGCTTCTGCATAGAGAGAAGTGTTGGACTGTTTAAAATATTTTGATTAAAATATGCAGATTCTGAAGAACTATAAGCTTCTGGAGAGGAGTGAGCTCTCTCTCTCTCTCTCTAGGTAGGTCCCCTCCCCCCATAAAGGGGTGGATTAGAAACCCCTCCCCAACAAGGAATAAGAACAGCCCAAAAGGAAGGATAGCAAACGAGACATGTTCCGAACAGCTTGGAAAAAACTCCTGTGGCTTCATTGTCTCTGTAAAGCCGAAGAATACAAAAGCAAGCAGTCAGCCCTTCTCCCATGATGGGAGATGCAAACCGTTGACATGGCTCCCCTGTTTAACTTGTTTAATTCTCATTTTAAATTCAGCACTATACCAGCCGTGTGAACTCTGAAGATTTCTTTAGTAATCCATTTTGTAGTTCAGAATCAAAAACAAAGTGAAAGGGTCTGACACAATTTGCTTTTATTTTTAGGCAAATCAACCCTGGTCATAGTTAATAAGGGGATTACAACCCAGACTACGTCTTTACAGATGTAAAGTAAATCAACGGCAGAGCATAAAGAAACTGATCCCTTTTGATTGAAGTATGGTAAAAAGGCATAGAGAAGCTAGCGGCAGTAATCTGATTGTATGGCAATAAAACCACCATTTTCTGTCTTTCAGATAAAAATAATGTGGTAAATCCATGCAGTTCATAAGATGTAAAGGCAGATAAAGGGGAAGCCATGGCAACATATAGATTAGCTTGATGTTAGAAATGACACGTCCCTGAAAAGGGTGTGGGGCGAAGGCCCTTGCTCCAGGCTGTTTGGTATTATGTGAGAGCCACACAGACTTGGGAACCGGGATTAAGAATCATGAAAGCTCCACTTGTGGTCTGGGATGGCTG